TATATAAATTAATTAATTAATTTATGGCTGTGTTGGGTCTTCGTTTCTGTGCTTGTACTGTCTCTAGTTGTGGCCAGCGGGGGCCACTCTTCATCGCGGTGCGCGGGCCTCTCACTATCGCGGCCTCTCTTGTTGCGGAGCACAGGCTCCAGACGCGCAGGCTCAGTAATTGTGGCTCACGGGCCCAGCCGCTCCGCGGCATGTGGGATCTTCCCAGACCAGGGCTCGAACCCTTGTCCCCTGCATTGGCAGGCAGATTCTCAACCACTGCGCCACCAGGGAAGCCCTCTGCCTAGTTTTATTTTTCTTTCTTTTTTCACCCACTTAAAAAGAAATTATTGTGTTGGATTTTATGTTATGAGCTGCCTTAAATCCTTCCCAAAACAATTGCTTGGTTTCAAATCTTGGTTCCTTTACTTAACAGCTATGGAGCTTGGGGAATTTATTCTCCTTATGATACAAGATTAATGCCCACTCCACTGCATGGTGGTGAGCAATAAATAAGATAATGAATAAAGTAATTAGCTTTTAAAATTTTTATTGGGGTATAGTTGATTTACAATGTTGTGTTAGTTTCAGGTGTACAGCAAAGTGAATCAGTTATACACACACATGTATCCACTCTTCCTTAGATTCTTTTCCCATATAGACCGTGACAGAGAATTGAGGAAGGTAGTCTTGAACAGAAACGTAAAAGATAAGTAAAGATCCTCCGGGTGACAAGATGAGGGAGGGCTTTCAGTGAAGGAGAACGGCAGGAACAAAGTCACAGAGATATGAGTGTGGCCGCCTCAGGACCTGGGAGCCTAGCCCGCACGGCCTGGTGGCAGGTGGATGCAGAAAGGGTTCTCTGCCTCTCCAGGGTTCCGAACCAAAGGTTACTTCATGCATCCTCCAGGCCACCGCTGTCAAACTGTAATGTGTATCAGCATCACGTGGGAGGCTTGTTTTTACAATGCAGAGTCCCAGGCCCTGGCCTCAGAGATTCGGACTCTTTAGACCCAAGGCGGCGCCGAAGAATCTGCCTTTTCCGTGTGCCCCCATGTGATCGTGATTAGAGTGGTCCTTAGCGCCTACTTTGGGAAGCCCTGTTCCACACCATTCTTCCATCTTCCTGCTGTAGCCACACACACACACACACGCACACGCACGTGCACGCACTCACGTGAGCACACACGTGCACTCTACCCTTCCTCCTTTCTCCCACCTTATCCCCGACTCTGTCCGTGGGGCAGACGTCAGCCAGGAATTTTCTGAAGTGCTTTTCTGATCATGTCTCGGTCCCCCAATTCTCTCAGCCCTTCTTCCTGCCAGGGAAACACAGAATCGTGACACCTGCGGTGAACACAAGCATTGTCTTAGTCTTGTGGATCCTGTTATTGCAGGTACCTGGGCAAATTCTCCGTGGAAATGCCAGGGTGAGGTCAGGACTTAGAAGATCCAAGAAGAGGGGTGGGTGGTTGAATGTGGTGCCAGCCCCAAACCCATCTGACCTCTTTCTCCCTCTCTCTGCAGAGAGTTGTCTGCACAGCTGGTCTGAAGTGGTATCCTCACCCTGCTCTGATTCACTGTGTCAAAGGCTGTGAGGTGAGTCCCTCAAAATGGTGCTACAACCATTACTGTTATTGTTATGTTAATCATGACTTCCATTTACTGTACCTACTAAGTGCTATAAATATCCCTTTAACAGACTTCTTGGACAGGAATCAGCAGTCCCACTTTATAGGTCATGGAACTGATGCACAGAGATATCAACAAACACCCTCAAACATACATTTAATGGCTAACAGAGTCGGGATTCCAAGCCAGGTGTTTCTGGCTCCGAAGCCTGTGTTCAACATGATATTGCTTCTGTAAGGGAGGTTGGGAGGGACGAGGCCATATTCATTTAACAGCTACAATATGCCCGGCATTTTACCAACATTGCCTTATTTAACTCTTACAGAACCACATGAGGCAGTTTCTGATTTTTCATTTCTACTTTCCCTGCAACCATTAATCGCAGATCATTTCCTTCTGCCACACGTCTGTCATTCACGCGTTCTTCAACTCCAGAGGTAATTTGGACACCTTAGACTCAGCCACTGAGCTGAAGGTGGAAGATCCCCTCTGACCCTTCAGTTCTCTCACCTGGCAGTGGAACCATTCCTTGGAACTTGGCATTTTGGAGCTCTGTCCCTGGGTATCAGTGACAAGCTTGGGGAGGGGCAGGGCCAGGGCACTTGGCATGTCACCTGTGTTCTCAAGGGCGTGCTGCTGTCCATGGAACTCAGAGACATTCTGTGCACCCCTATGCCCACTGTGAATCTTTTCAGCTGGCACGGAAAGGAGGTCCCAAATCACATCCAGGTGGATGTCCAAATCTCTGTGGTGCCCCCAGGCCCCCCTCAGGAAAATCCAGGTGAAAAGGACTAGATTGTGCTCTAGAAAACTTTGTATTTGATGAAATTCTTAAACTGTCACAACCAGACTGTTCTTCTAGACGATGGGGAAACTGACACCCAGCCAGCAGCCGGGTCTAACATTTGATAGAATGCCAACTGACACGGCTCTTAATGCCATCTACTGTCCTCGTTTGTTGTGTAGACTGGAAAAAGAGGGCCAGAGGGGGGATGCAGTGGCCGAAGGTTGCACAGCATACTAGACACAGAGCCAGAGCATGAACCCAAGTCTCCTGACTTCCAGGCCCGTTATCTCTTTCCTCCACTAGGCCACCTTCTGCCCATGAACCGTCCCCTGACCTGTAAATGTCACAGGACAGTCCCTGAGTCGCATTTCTTTCTGTGTATTGGTTAGGGAATCCCCAGGGGCATCTTCTCAGGGCACAGGACACTGCAGTCTTTAAAAACTCCCGTTCTCTCAAGATTCAGCAGGAGTGACAAAACCAAAGCCAAGGACCTGAGGCAGTTGCTTCCTTACATCTCTCTGGATCAGTCCAGGATTTCAGAAAAAGGAAGCTTGGATTACCTGGCCCCTCGTTCTGCTGAGTAGGCGGTCTGGGCAACCAGTGTGACAGCGGAATTCAATCCCTTCTTTGACTCAGCACTGAGGCCTAAGAGACCCACACCTGTCAGGCTCTGAGCTCTGCCAGGGATGCTTATCGCCTTTGCCCTTGCAGGTGCCCCCTTGTCTCCTTTCCTGCTTAACTTAGAGCTAATAGTTTCTCTCTTATCTGGGGCTGAAAAGTATGCTTAGAAGAGATACAACTGCTGGGTCCAGGGAGGAGCCATCAGCCTGGAATGTCTGCAGGAGCCAAGATTGATAAAGGGTCTTGGGGCCCTTTAGGCCCCTGCTCTCTGCCCCAAGCTGTGTTCAAAGTAGTCATTTACTTACTTGTTCATCAAAGCTTCACTGGGTGCCTATTATGTGCCCAGCACTACCCTAGATACTGAGAGTACAATGGTTTTAGTCAAGTGAAAACAGTACTGTGTTCTCCCTGACTCATCTGGATATCTTCTTGCCCTTCATCCATCCATCCATCCATCTACCCGTCATTTTACTAGATAAACATTTAAGGAAGATATATTTAATAAAGTTTTGCTCAACTTGCCAGCATTTTGCTAAGAAGTCTGAGATACAAAAATGGATGACGTACATTCCCTGTCCATAAGGAACTTACAGTATAGTAAAAGAGATACGGTTAAAGAAGAATTCTACACTGATATACCAAGAGGTATAACCAAAGCAGGTGTAAGAAGCTGCAGGAGCACGTGGCATCTCGGGGGGTTGTAGGGAAGACATTTTGGAGCGGTGATGTTTGAACTAGATCTTGAAGGGGGAATTGTTTCCCCAAACACACTATTAGTAGACGCAGCAGCATGAGAACTACCAGAGACAGGAGCGATCTCGAGGCTGTAGAGCTTTTCACATGTTATTCTGTCTCTCTAGAAAGTCTCCCTGCTCCACCCCCCACCTACTTAACTCCTACTCATCATGTCAGCTGAAACGTCGTCTCCTCCGGGACTTGTTCATGGAGCTCTCTGATTAGGTCAAATCCCCCTGCTCTTAACTGTAACAGCATCACATACCTTTCCTCTGTAACTCTTATCAGAGTCGAAATTGGCCAATAGGATAAGTGATCATTGGAATAAAGTCCGCCTCCCTACTAGAATGTAAGGTCTTAAAGTAGCAGGAGCTCTGTCTATATTGACTCACTATTACATCCTTTTTTGTTTTTGTTTTTAGCACAATGTATAACACATAGTAGGCACTCAATAGATAGGGTTAAATAGAAGGCGGACGGATAGATGGGAGGATGGATGCGTGGATGTGGCAGCAGGAAAGGGTACATAGAAGAAAGTAGCTAGTAATGAGACTGGAGATATTTTTCAGTAACAGATAAAGAAAGAATCTTTTTTATTTTTCTTCTTCCTTTTCTCTTCCAGCTACTCCTTTACCAAGCCAGTTCCTTTTATTTTTAAAAAAGGACATTTGGTTTCCTTTATTAGTCTTCATATATAATGTGAGAAAGAACTTAGGGAGCAGAGCCCACAGACAAATCTTCGAAGGCCCAGAAAGAGCAAAGGGTTTTATCCTTTAGTTGTTTGTGCCTCTCTGCTTTAATACGAATGTGGTAATGTATTCATTGTGGCGGTCAGGCGGCAGAGTCACACCTGTGCTCACAGCCACGTGCATGTGTACCCACAGTTGAGTACAGCTTCTCTCTCTGTTCTTGGCTCTGCCTTGCTAAAATCCTTTTTAGACCCTAACAGGGCAGTGATGAAATGGAATCAAGCATCATGAGTTGGGGGCACAAAGACTGTGAATTCGGAGCATAGATGCAAGAGACGGGGATGCCACATAGGATGGACTCCTTGTGAACTTGGCTCTCCCCATAAAAAACCCACAAAAGGGTTTTTCATGGGAGCCCACAAAAAGTCGACGAGTCACTGAGCATTAGAGACCCCCAACCCGAACTTTAATCAAAGGGGCTTCACTTTCATCTGCTTTTTATATTAAAGGGATACACAACATTACCTTTGATGCGGGGAGGGGTATGTTCATTGCTTTGAGAAATCGGTGGTCTAATTCTGCCTCTTTATTTCACCACTGTGAGTCCTGAGACCCAGAGAAGATAAGCCACTTAGTCAGAATTACCAAGGAACCAACCAGTGGCTGAGGTTTGGAAGACTAGAACCCAGGTTTTCTAAAGCCCTGCCAACTGCCTTCCCACTACACCAGTACAATTACGATCTGTCCCTAAAACATCTTTAAGAGCTAAGTTGTGCCCAGCATTAAACTCCAAGGCGCTTGGGAGACAGAGACGAACCGGATATCGGCCTTGCCTTTGAGGAGCTCACAGTCTTGCACCAACTACAGGTTAATAACCTATAGCAGACAGCGTGCTAAGTGTTCAGGTGGGAAATGCAAGTGCTGGGGGTTGCAGAGACCCCTGACATTCCCCTAAGATGACTCTGGGTTCAGATCAGTAATAATTTAACTCCATCATCTTTTCCTCATCTTTCAAGCATCACAGAGTTGGAGGAACACAGGGAAGAAAAGAAAGAAATCAACATATGCTAGGTATAGCCTAGAAGGGTAAAGAAAAATGAGAAACCAACTTAGATTGAAATCACTACTCTGCCTCTGCCAGCTGCTCTTGGCCAAGTCCCTTTCTTGCTCTGAGCCTCAGGGTCTTCATGTGTGAAGTGGGAAGGGCAATGCCTACCTTACGTGTTTTATTTGGGAACAAAAGAAGAAAGCAGACGTGGAAAGTGTGTGACATCGAGTATATCTGTACTCCTGTGTTAGAGAAGAAAGCACCCATAATCATACACCAACCATCATGCCAAGTTCCTGTGAATTCTTACAGTCTTTACAATTCCTGAGTAGTTTACATTCAGCTTCCTAATATATTTGCATATACATTTATTGTAAATTATGTTTGTAGTTACCTGCTACCAGGAAAAGTGGGGGAAAGGGGGGCTCAAATTTTCTTACCGTTTCTTCAAGTGAAATGAGCCCCCTGCTTCAGGAGGACATAGCGGTCTATCCTGCTGCCTTTGCATACCCAGCATATGAAGAGTATGTCTCCTAGCATAACCATAGTTTAGTTGGGAAAAACTTGGCTAGATGAGAGTCTTTAAAAATGGTAGAAGTGGGCTTCCCTGGTGGCACAGTGGTTAAGAATCCACCTGCCAATGCAGGGGACAC